CGACCAATCCAGCTTCAGGCCGGTCGCTGACCCCACGAGTGCCGACGGGTCGAGGAATTGACTCAGCTGGCGCGCCCTCACCTCGACGAGGAGTTGAAGGAGAATGGTGGCGCCGCGAGTTGTGCTGGAATAGCATGCGAGGAGTAAGGAGCTGCCAAGTGAGTGACAGCGGAAGCAGCGAACGTACCGAAGAAGGTGGTGGAGAGCCGCGAGACGTCATCAGCCGAGTACGGACCAACGGTGACAGAACCAAATGAAGGATTAAGACTCGGCTCGTATCATAACCGGGGCAGTTGTGGTGTAGGGATTTCCAGATTCGACCATACGCCAACCTACTTTAGATCAAGAATCGGCTCGGTCTGGTAACCCAGAGCTTAGGAACAAAGGATCACGGTAAGTACTCAGCGATCTGTCCGGATATGCTATCCGGATGGCCGCTGAGCTCAATGGTCGCCCGAACTCAGCTGAAGGGTCGGTAGAGATCCGAAACGACTACATTTCACTAGATATTTGTATAAGAAGCATAGGATTAAATAGGGGGAGCCGAAAGACTCCCAGAAGATAACAGAGCAGAATGTTCCTAGTCCAAGACACGTGTACACTTTTCCGGTAAGTCCCTGCATAGGGCTGGATTTTGCCTGCCGTCAATACTCGAGAGGCATAGCTTGTAGGGTATTGACTGGTAGCGTCAAGAGATTAGGTCGGTCCGGGTAGGACAAAGTCTCGCTACGCGCGAAAGAAAGTCCCGCATACTTAGCGGGCCGGTGCGTCGGATAGCCCGGGTGCCGTAACACTTCTAGCTGAGCAGCCTCTGCGCTCGGTGACCTGTAAAAGCGCTCGCGCGCCGTCGTCCATCCTTTGGTGGAGGGCACAGGGTTGTGAACGAGCTCAGCCGAACCAAACTCGGCGGAGCCTCGGAAGTGATCTGACTTGGTTAGTCGGAACCGAGTGGAAGCGAGCCACTCGTCTGTCCCGGTAGGGCCGGACCGCGAGGGGACCACCCTCTGCGCAGGCCATACAACCGCCGACCTAACTCGGCGATTCGTTGTTGTTTGTGTAAGGAATCCACATCTGACGGTATTTGTGTGTTCTATTACACCACAGTACTCTATGTAGTTGGCGACAAGGTAAGTGGGGTGTTGTTCATGTCAGCTTATGAAAAATATCTAATGCTGTCCCGAACAACAGATTTCAGAAATACTACAAAAGCCTGTTTCTTGGAGTGGTCGACATGGCGGTGGTGAACGCCTACATTGTACACGCTTACGTCTGGGAGAAGGAACGCAAGAAGAAGATGCCACACTACTCGTTCTTGACAACGCTACACAGACAGCTAATTCAGGAGACGGAGTCATCCTTTACGGAGGCAGGGACTTCGACTGATCCTACGGCTGTAGTGCGTGAGAAACCTATCGCTATCCAAGATGACCATTCCCTCGTCCAAACTACCGACACCCGTCTAAACAATGGTGTCCATCGTTTGCGCCAAAGGCAATGCAAGGTCTGCTCCTACTACAAACCGGCAGACAAGAAGAGGGAAGGAACGTCTACGTTCTATTGCGCGAAGTGCTCCGAAGGCAAGAAGGGGCAGGTGACACTCTGCAACAAGGTGCGGGGACACCAAGCAAACGAGGGCATGACCTGTGCTCAGATATGGCATATCCTGTGGCAGAATGGCTTGTTCGCCCCAAAAGCAAGTCATATTCGAGATCGTAGCCTAGCTAAGCCGTAGGGAAATACATTTAGCTGAGTTGCAACGCACAGGAGAACAAATAAGTCACTCAGCTTGCTAAGAACACCTTCCACGTAGTTGCTAATGCCCCTGTTAGTCTCTTTGGGGGGCGCTCTGTCGTGTCCGTCCTGCCAGCCCTCGCTCTCTTTTTGCTGAGTTGATGCGGTGGTGAATGCGTGGTCTCTCCTTCTGGTCTCTAAATATCGGAATTGCATAAATAGACTGGCAAACAGTTATTGGGAGGAATTTTATCCGCAGATCATACCAAGCCCCTATATTAGAATAATCACCGATAAGCTTAGCAACAAGCTCGTAAAAAAAGATGCATTCAACTCCTTCGCTAAAATATGTCTTACTTTGTTTAAGTAAACTCCTTATACCCTCCCGGAGGGTATAAGGAGTTTTCTTTAGCCTATCCCTGTCACCCCTCGGCGTCCAAGGGGCTAACAGCTATGTTGCAGCAATGGTCGACCTCTGGAAGCAGCAGTCCAATGCCAGAATCAACAGCCATCCCTCTCCCCGAGACGCTGTAGTGACAGCGCTTCTTAAGCTAATCGAATATGAAGAAGATGAAAGGAAGCGCAAGAGCTTTGAAGACCGCGGCGCTGATACGCTGCTGGATGGCTACCCAAATGCAGACAGATAAAGAAGATAGCTTCTTACTTCTGGACTCTGGGGCGAGATCAGGGTATAGGTTTGCGCAATCTACTTGCTTTCCTGCTGAGTCATTACGCTCTTATGAGATGGCGAGTCAGCACGCAAGATGGAGTTAACAGACTTGCACTCCGTTGTTCTTAAAAACGAGGGCTACAACCCTTGCAGAGCGGTCGTAATGGTCATGCGACAAGGTAAAACAAATCAGGTCGGCCGTATTGAGGTAGGCGCATTCATGCGGAGCATAAGCGTTGGAATATGTTCACACGGACAACTGGGATTGTACTTATTCTGGAGATGGCATGTTGAAGGCGAGCCTTTTCTCGATTTTACATCTTCTGCCAACTGGTATCCCGTCAAGCTTCTAAGAACTGGAAAAGACACAACCAAAGAAATGTCCTACAAAGTGCACCGACAGGCTATCACAGTGGCACTTAATCATGTTGGAATATACAGTAAAAAGAAAACGCATGTTGGGCGGGGTTCGGGAGCGAGAATTGCTGATTTAGGCGGCGCGAGTGAGTCTCAGATTCGTCGGCTAGGTCGATGGAACAGTCAATCACTGGAAAAGTGCTATTTATCTTCCCTTCCACGAGAAGCAATGCGCACATTAGCAGGTTTCGATCCAGCTAAGGAAGTTTTTTTGTGACCCGGGCTTCGGTTGCACCAACACTATCACTGCAACATAAAATACTTTCACATGTGGATAAGTGGAAGCAGTCAATAGTCAACGGAAGTGCGGAGCAGACAATGGCTGCAGGGGGGGGTTCTTGGAATTACTACAGTATCTCCGTATAGTGATACTTCAAGACGCTGTAGTTTTGAAAGATAGCACTTCCGCACATCTAATCTGGCACAACGACGTCTTTCGTTTGTCTGAGTTTCTTCTTTTCAAGCAAGAAGCAATCCAGACAATAGCTACCATCGACGACCCCGCCGAGCAGAGACTTCAAAAGGCAATACCAGTATTGTAACTAAGATAGACGGCTCTTATCACGAGTTAAAAGCTTTGGTTGACCAAGCAAATGTGTCACGGCAGGTGGTTAAAAGTCAGCTCGCCGACGTGGTACGCGTACTGGCCTCACTTACAGGCGGTACAGCTTTGGTACAGCTGAAATTGATCTCTGATACAGGAAGTGAATTTGACTACCAGTCACGTAGAGCGGAGTGTTTCTGCCGATCAGGATACACCACGAACATTACTCTGGCCTCCTGTCCGCAATACAAGCTACGTCGAGGCGTCGAGACAGTAATGGATCTTTAGAAGGAGTGGACGGTAGGATTAGATGGTGGCACTGCGGTAAGCCATTTGGAAGCAAATCACTGTGCGAAGTGGTGCTCGCCAGAAGAAAGGCGGTTTTTAATCGCTGTCGAGTTATTCTCAATCTAATGCAAGAAATTGCTGCTCAAGTCCACGTAGCTGCCCAAGTTGCAGAAGTTGCAGCGATCGAACAGGCTGTCAAAGCTGTGGAAGAGTGCAGGCACAAACACAAAAAATCGCTGAATTGGATAAGCAAAAACGCGGCACTGGTCCGTCAAGAAGTAAAGAAGGCCGTCTTACCCCGTCATGCAACAGCCTTCTTAGCTTCATAGCTACCGGAAAGGCACACTATACCCATATTTGCAATATATAACAATGTAGAGGTACACAATTCTGTCTTGGATATCGACACCATTGCTATCGTCGTGATTTCGCTGTGGGCACCGCTTTATCGCTTCCTCAAGCGAGTAAAGATTATTGTCAGATCTGATCCTACTGAGACTCTCTATGATTGGCGGATACCCACAAAAATTTATTGGCGCTAGGACTTCACGTCCTTTCTACTTAGTAAAAACCGGGCCCAAGACCCATCTATTTCCAGGCTGATAACCCGTCATTAATGCGGCCAAGCCGCCTAAGGGTAAATGTATCTGCTTAACTATCTAACATAGTTAAACCGAATCAAATGCATAACGTGTGGCTTTCAGCCAACGTACTGAGAAACATTGTTAACTCTCCAGCTTATGTACTGATAGTTTGCTAACTCTCCGGGTACTCCGTACCCCTGTGTGCTCCACACCAGGTAACCCCGTTACACTCTCCCCACTAAGATGAGAACATTCCGTTTTCGAAACTTCCTCAGCGAGGACACGTCTTGTCAAGACGGCAGAGGTTACTACACCCCACACCAGCGTTGTACAACTCCGCGAGCTCACAAACACCTACGCATCGTTGATGCCCACTTTCTCGTCGTCAGTCCACGGTCCAATGTCTAAGCGCACCGCGCATCTTAGGCTCAATCGGTCTCAGACCTACGCTCGCCCTCCGCTCCTACTCCAAGAGCTGCAAACCACTCAGAGCTATGCTCTTGACTCATCCGAGTCGTCGACGACAGCTCAGCGGTTGAGCACTCGCTTTACAAGCGATAGGTCGGTGGTTCAATCCCACCAGGGCGTCGCCCTCTCGTTCCATGAACGATTGTCCACGCTTGGACAAGCTTAAAAGCAACACCCTGTTAGCTCAATGGTTGAGCGTTGGCTTTGAGAGCCACAGGTCGGTGGTTCGGACCCACCAGGGCACAGCCCTCTCGCTCTATGAACTGTTGTCCTAGAATGGACAGGTGTAAGGGTAACACACTTCTAGCTCAGTGGTCGAGCGTTGGCTTTGGAAGTTACAGGTCGGTGGTTCGATTCCACCCGAGGCGCTGCCCTCTCATATCATGAGTAGTCCGTTCTCGGACAAACGTACAGGTATCGCCCTTATAGCTCAATGGTAGAGCTCCGGCCTGGAAAGCCAAAGGCCAGTGGTTCGATCCCCGTCCGGGACACACCACTTTCGCTGTTACAGCGCATCCACATTTGGATCATGCTCATCGAGCAAGTTGTTTCAAAACAACTATGCGTCTATCGGGACGCTTGTGCCTGAACCTTGTTCAGCACAACACGAAGCACCTGCTTCCTTCGAGACCACATCCCCAACACCACGCGGTCTCTCCACCTCCTGCTTCCGCTGCGAGCGCCGCTCATACGTACGACCTGGCTGCTGTAGCCATTGATCAGAGCCTGATCTCAACTACTGACCTGTTCACTCCCCAGGCGCCCAGCGCCTGGCGACGCTGTCGCACGCCATGGTGGCGCTTCGGCACAGGATGTGCCCAGTCGTAAGCGCCGACGACGTCAGATGCAGCGGGGCTGCCGTAGCTTTAGCGTCAGAGGAAGACGTTCGACTCAAAGAGTCACTAATACTAAGTTTCTTATCCAAAGAAACTTAAAGCCCAAGACCAGGGCCCAAAGTTAATACTTAAACTTTTATGCTTCAAAGCAGAAGTGTTTTATTTACTATTATTGCGGCCAAGCCGACTAGGGGTATATGTATTTGTTTAACTATATAGCATACTTAAACCTTATCAAATGCATAACGTGTGGCTTTCAGCCAACGTACTGAGAAACCTTGTTAACTCTCCAACTTATGTACTGAGAGTTTGCTAACTCACCGGGTACTTCGTACCCCTGTGTTTCACACCATGTAACCCCGTTACATCAGGGCAATCTTGCCGGAGGATAACTTCAAACTCCCATGAGTTCTGTGAGTGAGGGTAACCCCTCTACTTCACAAAGTACTGGGTACGACCCTGGCGTCTACGCCGCGCCACAAGGCGTTCCACGTGAAAGTGGAGCTCACCATGCTCATCGAGCAGAGCGGGAGGAGGCCTTGCCTCAGCTGGGTTCTCGCGAGGAGAGTCGGCACTTGCCGAAATGGCGTCTGCGTCCATACGACGCCGGCGTTCACGACGCGAACGCTCACGTTCACCGACCATAGGTCGATCTTTGAAGAGATGTTCCACCTTGTGGATAGGTTACAGCCACCGCAGTTGACTCACAACCAAGTCTCGGACCTTGAGCGCCCAGTCGTTCGGCTGAACGTTCCCCTTTGCCTTGCTCCTGCATTCCGAGCACTTCCCCCGCGACATGTGGCTCTGCCGCATGCTGTTACTCAGCCTGCTGTGGGTCCACTACTTGCTGTCGTCCAGCCCCCCGTGGCTCTACCACCTGCTGTTCTGCAGCTGCCGGAGACCCATCCACCGTTGAAGCCAACGCCTCCGCGCTCACCTGAGCAGGTTCTTGATATGGCTTAAGCAAGCCAGCATAGAAGACCAGATGCGTGCGCATCTTCTTCGGAAGATTGAGCGTATACGCTAGGCCCTACGGTTTTATGAAACGAGGTCTCAATTTCGTGTTGAAGACTGCCGACACTGCATACGTTTGTAGGGTTTTCGCGCTTAATAAAACTTGGCACCAACCTCAAACGCTCAGCAATAGATCTGCCCTTGGCATCTGCATGTTCCTTCTGCGTGTCTTGGTTTTCAGCCATAGCGTCACGTACTTGACGCATTACGCTCTGTCTCACAGAGACAAAATCATCGACTTGCTTGCGAACCGCAATAGGGCTGACATCAGCTAGCCGCTCGGCTATCCCTCCCCCATCAAGCCCCGATCCACTGCGTGGCGGCGTCAGTGGGGCGCGAGGGTTCACCAAGTCGTTCACATAGAATTGCGTGTAGCCTGTCGAGGCGTGCACTGCATTATATAATGCGAACTCAACTAGTGGGAGCATCTGGCTCCAGCGTTTTGACGCCTCAGCGCATACGCTTCGGAGGACATCCTCCACAACGCGATTCACGCGCTCGGTTTGACCGTCGGTCTGCGAATGATCCGATGTGGACATGTCCAAACGAGTGTCGAGCACTCTGAACTTGGACGTCCGGAATTTCGCGGTGAAGCGCGGGTCCCGATCCGAGACAATTGCCTCAGGCAAGCTATGTTGGGGAAAGACTCAGTCTAAAAACAGCAAAACTGTACCCTCATCAGCAATGGTGTCCGGCACCACCGCTAAATGAGCCATCTTGCTCAATCGATCTACAAAGACCACAATACCCGTGTTTCCTCCCTTATCCTTGGGAAGACCAAACACAAAGTCCATACTCATGGACTGCCAACATCCCTTGGGGGCAGGCAAACTCACCAACGGCGCTGCCGTGCTCGGCGCGGACTTCGTCCGCTTGACACGTCTCAGACGTGCGTACATAGGTACCGACCCACTTATACATCTTGGGTCACCAGTACATCGAGCTCACCGAGCCATAGGTCTCCTCCCTACCTAATTGCCCGCCCACGGGCGCACCATGAACCTCATAGAGGGTTCGATACTTCAGGCCCTCATCATGAGAAACGACTACACGAGGGTTATCCTCAGAGTCGGTGCTGTAGTTCAACAGACCGCCATCGAGCGAGTATCGATGCACCCTCGCGCGCAAGCGCCCAGACAATGCTTTGCCAGAGTCCTTAAACTCTTCGCTCCCAAGAGCCCGTAGCAGCGCTACGCACATGTCGCCCTGTGCATAAGCTCGCGTATCAAGGCAGGAACTGGGCGACACCACTGTCGTGACACGAGCTAGCTTGCAGTCTGGCCTACGCGAGAGCGCATCGGCCACTACATTAAGCTGCCCCGGTTTTTTACTTCACCTCAAAGTTGTACTCGGCAAAGAAGGAAAGCCATCTTGCCATTCTCTGAGAGAGATGAGGCGACTGTGTCGCAGTGCGTTGCGACGCATGATCAGTAAAGATAACAAAAGGCTTAGAGCCTAGCAGGTGTACCCTGAATTTGACTAGAGCATACTTCATTGCGAGTAGCTCTTTGTTATGAACTGGATAGTTCTTCTCTGCAGCTTTGAGCTGGCGAGAATTAGACGCAATCACGCGTTCACGCCCTTCGGCGTCTGTTCGTAGTAAAGCACAACCGATTGCAAAATCGGAGGCGTCACAGACGACGCTAAACGGACTATCCGGGTCCGGTAGCGCAAGGATCGGAGCCTGGAGGAGGCTCTCCTTCACAGCCTCAAAGGCTCCGTCGTGCTCGACGTTCCAGCACCATGGTGCGTCCTTCTTAAGGAGATATGAGAATGGCCGAGCCATCTCCGCGTAGCCCGCGCTGTACTTGTGCAAGTAATTGACTAAGCCTAGCCACTTGCTTAAGTCTTCTTGGTTCTTGGGAACCGGCCAGTCCACAATGGCCTTGACTTGGGCAGGATCTGCCCGTAAGCCACACTTCACAATGAAGCATCCGAAGAAAGGTATTTCCTCCGCGCCAAAGACGCACTTGTCAAGTTGGCATACAACTTCTTAGTGCGCATGCACTCGAGCACCGCTCGCAAGTGATCAATGTGGTTCTCCACGTCTGTTAAATTTCCGTGCTCAGCACGACTACGGACGAATATATCGTCAAAGTACGTCTGAGCGCACGCCCGGTGGGCCTAAACAACTACGTCACAAGACGTTGCTGGTGCGTTCGACAGCCCCTGGGGCATGACCATCCACTCCCAGAGCATACCACTCGGAGTACTCACCGCTGTCAGCGGAATGTCGCTCGCTCTCATGAGCAATTGGTAGTAACCATCGACCAAGTCAAGTGTGCTGTACAACATACAACCTAATATGTTGTTCTGCAGAATATCCTTGCGAGGAATCGGCGCTTGCGCCGGGATGGTGGCCGCATTTAGCTTGTTAAAAGCATGAACAATGCACCACTTGCCGTTCGGCTGTCTGACACAGAACGTGGGTGTCGAGTGCGGAGACTTACTCTCACGTACCATCCATACCTCGTGCTTTGCACAGAAGAATGCGTCAATGACGTCACACTGCTCTCTTGGCAAAGACCATTACCTTGTTACGCAGTATTTGGCTCCAGGAACCAGATCAATCTCATGACACACGCCTCAATTCAGAGGCAGACCCGTCGGTGGGTCCTTCGAGACAACGTCTCCATATTCCTTCACCACAGGGTAGAAGAGATCCGAAGGATCTTTTAGGATCACCGATCCACTTCTAGCGCTCAGCGCCTTCTTGGTGTCCTCTAGGACCGCGTCGTCCACGACGGATGAGGAGTTCATCTCCTCCTCAGGTCCCAGCAGGACCACCTCGGCTAGCTCGCCTGCCTTCAAGGCTTCGCCAAACTCGGCAATGAACATCTCGCCCAGCTCTAGCAGAGCATCTACAGCGGGCAGAGTGTCAAGGCTGATGTCGCCCTCGACCCCCCCCATCACTCCATTGACGAGTGTGTACAGCTGCTCACAGCAATCACCTGGAGCCTCGCCGCTCGTCACGTTGTACACCTTGTCCGACGCCGAAGACGTCACAGACGCCCGGTGGCTTCCTCTTCTCTCCCTCCGCGACCGAGCCCGGCCGGATGAGGGCGGTGTGGCGACATCTCCGTCGCCACCACCGGGTGCAGCAGCACCACCACTCCTCGAAGAGGAGACAGTATCTCGCGAGACACTCGGCTGAGAGCCAAGAGGTCCTTGACCCTCACACAATGAACTAGGTGTCACTTCACTTGCAACGCCTAAGCTGCGCCCACGATGCCTCAACTCGCAGTCGACCGTGGCCCTCGGGCCACGCAGCGGTAGGCCATCGACCAGATCCGTACCACTCAGTGGATTACGCGCCACTCCGCGTTCGGCCTCACCAGGACCCAGCGGTTGGCCATTGACCTGACCTGCACCGCTCAGCGGATAACGTGCCGCAACACGTACGCCCTCAGGGCAAACAGCAACCTCGTTGCTAACAATTTCTGATATACCCATGTCCAGCACTACGGCCGCCTCGGCCTCGTGCTCGCGCCAAAAGCGCTTCTGCTTCCTAGCTGAGGT